GGCCTCGCCTGCCGTTCTCTACTCGGGGCCCGCGGGTCAGGCGCCGCCGCCGTCCGTGTGGGCGCGGTCCCGTGGTCTCCCTAACGCCTTTGGGGGGGCGTGGCCCGTTGGTTTTCTTGCTCTGACCGTCTCTGTATGTTGCTGTTTCTCCAGCTTGCTGGCTGCCGCCTTTGCTCCCCCGCGTAAGGTTTCCCACGAGGCCGCAGCCGGCGTGTCGCATTCTCGCTGACGTGCGCACCGACGCTGCCTTTTTTGTGAACTTGCAGCCTCGTGGCGTTTCCGGTTCTGCCGGTGTCTGCGTGCCTGGCCGGAGGGCGCGCCGGCGTCTCCTGTGTTGCTGACACGGCCCCGTGCCGCCCTGTGCCCGCCTGCCTGCCCTCTGCCAGGCTCCACCTCGGCAAGGCCCTGGGGCCGGCTACCCGGCCCCCTTCCCCGCATTGTCCGCCAGGCAATGAGGGCGGGCGCCTGTGCCCACCGCGCGTCGTGCGTTGACCAGGTGGTTCTTGGGGAGGCGGACTGCGAGTGGCCAGGCCCCAGGCGGGCCCCTGGCTCACTCGGGAGCCTTCGGGTCCTGATCCGCTCTGACGGGTGGCAGGAAGAGGCTCCCCGAGGCCCCCAGGCGTTGCAGGGAGCTGACCGGAAGCCCGTCCCCACGCCCGCTCTCCTCGAGTTCCCGGAGTGCTGCCCACGGGCGCCGGCTGGCCTCCTGGGCCGCCTTGGGGTGGCTGTGCTGCCGGCCAGCCGGGCGGCGCTCTCCCGGGCCACAGCTCTGGGGCACTGTTGAGTGAGTGGATCGGGGCTGTCGTGGCGGTGGTGGCAGCCCAGGGGCCGTGGTGTGGCCGTGAGCACTGTCGGGCTCAAGAGCAGCCTCCCCAGGGTGCGTGGAGGGGCCTTTCTCGGGGTGTCTGAGGTGGGAGGGGCCGGCGGCAACCTCGCCGCCAGGCCCGCCCTGTCCACAGCGGGAGGAGGGTGTGCCCGTCCTCTGGCGGCCAGGTCCCGGCCTCGGCCCCGCTGTTGCGGGGGCCGGGGCGTCGGCCCGACAAGGCCGCTTGGCCGCAGGAGCCCGAGTGGGGGGCGCCTGTGGATTTGCCCGTCCGCTCCCCCGCCATCCTCTTGTGCCACCTTGGTGCTGCAGCTGGCGCGGCTCAGCTGCTGGGTGGCTGGTCCGGCCCTGAGGGCCTGGTGCTGGGGCCCGCTGCAGGCCCGCTTTTTCAGAAAGGTTTATGTTTGCTTCTGCATCTAGGAAGTGGGTTGTAGGCTAGAGACAGGGTGTGGGGATTCACCAGAGACAGCGGGGAGCAGGACAGGCGGAGCGACGAAGGACACTGCCGAGGGGCGGGGAGACGGGTCTGCCGCACCCTGGGTCTCTCCCTGGCCTGGGGCTTACCCTTGCGCCCAGGGAGGCCCCGAGGCCTTTCTGACCCTGCCTTGCGGGCACCTTCCTGCTCTCTGTGGAGGCAGCTGCAGGCTTTGGCCGCGGCACCCTCGCGCGGGTGGTGAGGCGTGGCGACCCCACGTGCCAGGCGCCGTGGGCCGGGGAAGCCTGCGCCCTGGCCTGGGACTCCGTGGTGGGCCCGGCCGAGCCTGCACGCGCCTCCGGGAGCCTCCCGCCCGCCGCAGCTGACAGGCGCTTAGAGGGCCACGGTGCTGCGGCCGGGCCGAGGCTCCTCCGCCGGGTCCCCGGCCGGTCTGGGCCCCTCTTCTGGACGCGGTGCCATCTGCTGGAAGAGCTTTCCTCCGGTCTCTGGTTCCGTGACGGCGTGGGCGCCACGGTTTCGTGGTCTGGCTCTCCCGGCCCTGGGGGGCAGACACCGCCGGGGCGCCCTCCGTGCCGGGTGGCTGAGTCCACGCGGTTCCCTTACAGGGGTGTTTGGGAGCCGGGAGAGTTGCTGCTTGGGCTGCGGACACTGGACAGGTCCTGGCACGCCTGGGGCGTCAGCCCTTCCTCGCGGACGCCCCCGGCCCCGTGGCAGGCGCAGGCTTCCGGGAGGAGGTGGTCTGGGCTTGTCGGTCCTGTGGCAGCCAGTGCACCCTGCCCTGGGGGTGGCATTCTGATGGGCGCCCGACAGGCCGGGCAGCGGCAGCAGCCTGCGGGGACACCGGCTGGGGCTGCTGTCGCCTGAGAGGCGGCTTCTCCCCTGGGGCCAGCTTCGCTCACCCGGCTGGTGTCTCAGGCACGCGCGCCGGCACCCTCCTGCCCTTGAGGCCATGCGGCGGCAGCCCGCCCTGTGGAGAGCTGCCCTCGCTCGGCCTTGGTTCTGTGGGGAAGCGGTGCCCAGGGCAGGAGGTGTGGGCCGGGCGCCTGCTTCAGGGTGAGGTTGGCAGTGCCCAGAGACTGCTGGCAGTGCCCAGAGTGCTTGTGGGGGCTGAGGCATGGAGCAGGGCATGGGTGGCGGAAGGAAACTGGGGCCCCGTGGGCAGGCTCCCGTGGGGCCCCGTGAGGACTGAGAGTGTGCGGACTGTTCTACACCAGGTTGACGTGTTTTTTCTCTTGTGCTTCTCTTCCCTGAAAGATTGTCGACGGTGAGTGTCTCCTTTTTCCTTGGGCTGGTAAGAGCGCTGCGGAGGGTCGGGCCGCGGGCCACGCCGAGCCGCACGCAGGGAGAGGCCGCAGGAAGGTGCTGCTCAGGTGGCCTCTGCCCGCTGGGCCTGGCGCTCGCCGGGCACCCTCCGTCTCTGACCGCGGCCAGTCCCGAGCCGGCGGAGCGCAGTTTCCTGGGCAGAACAGGCCTTCCCTGCGGGGCGCGGGGCGGGG